GGCTTATATTTTCTTCTATATCCACATCTCCTAGGCTTGCTTGGGATGGCAAGAGATTTGAGATTGCATTTTGCTGTTTAATTTAGTCATTTTCCTATATTCCCTTAAGGAAACCAAAGGCATCTTTTCAGTTGTTTCTTGGGTTGAGAATCTATCCCTATTGCAGGGAGTTTCCCCAGTTGAGTGGAGGTCCTTAGACAGACCTACCTGGTGGCTCCCAGTCATGTGGGGTCAACTGGCAGGACCATACCAGTCTCAAAGTGATGCACCAAAGCTACCCTGTGGGATGGAAATGACTGTTCTCACTTTTGGCTCATGAGGTGGAATGCAGGCAGCTGCAGGCTGCTTTTAAGTCACTGGGCAGGACCCAAATAGGCCCAGAGGGACCCTCTGGTGCATTCTCTGGTGATATGGGATGCTGAGGGAGGTCTTACCAATCTTGGAACAATGCACCAAAGCTTCCCCATGGGATTGAAATTGCTGTGTGCACTTTTGGCTCATACGGTGGAACACAGGCGGCTGCAGGCTGCTTGGCATTCACTGGCTGGGGCCCCAAGTTTAAAAGTTTTGACAGGGGAATCCCTGGGAAGGATAAAAGACAGCTTTCCATGTCCCATCATGACTTTGGGACTATAGTAAGGCATATCCTAAGATCCAGTCCTCACTGCAAGAGGAATCAAGAGGGATGGGCCAGATGTATTGATCGAAAAATCTTGAATGTCCACAAAATCTTTAGGAGAGGGCTTTCTGAAGATATCCTTTGCCTACAGCAGGAATCTACATTAAATAAGACAGCATTTCATGGATACAAGGAATAAAAAGACTACAAAAAGGAAAATCACAAAAGAAACAAAACTGAGCTCCTATAACTGACCTGAAAGAAAGCAAGATGTTAGTTTCCTATGGAAGATTAAAAACATTTTCATAAAATCTTCTTGAGCTATAAGACAAAACATTGCCAACCAAATAAAAGCATAAAACGTGTATCAACAACGCAGGGTTATCTACTGAAACTGAAGAAAAACAAAACTAATCTTCAGAGCTAAAAATTCATTATAAAATTTTTTGCATATATGAAGGCAATGATTATCCACTGTCTTCCATCTTCAAGATGGAGAATAAGTTATGTCTGTGGAATGATTTAGTCAAATGATAAATGCCTGTTACAGGAGCCTCAAGGATCTAAGCTCTTGTCCCAGATCAAGGCCATGAACTTTGGCGTTTCATGTCCTATGGCAGGAGCAACTGGACGTCTAGTATCATAGGGAATCCCTTTCCTTCTGCCATGGATTTGGGTATCCCAGCCCTCACCATGTTAAAAAACGCTCACCTTCACTAGTGACCACAATGCTCTTTATCTATTCTGCTGTTTGAAATGCTCATATTTTTCAGGAACACCCTCACATATCTTCTGTAAAAATATTTTACCTGATATCTGAGCCTTCATGAGTCCAGTAAAATGGACGCACAAAACTAACCATCACAAAAGATCATCATTTGCCAATGTTTTCCAAGTATTGGTTTGATGAGTTAAACAGTACGTCTTTCATACTATGGGCAATAATGTATAATACAGATGTATAACCTTTCCTACCTAGTGTTAAAATAAAATAAATTGAAGATATTTCAAAGTTATAAACTGGCTGTAGAAAAGATAACTTCATATGGAGCTGTTTAGTATATCATCTGCATCAAAAACTCAAACCTAACTGCTAAAATGAAGTTAATTATAAAGAAGTAAATAAAATGTGTTTACACTTGAAAAAATCCTCTGAATATGAGAAATTTTGTCTTTCTTTTTTCCAAAGATGCAAAGGTGAAGCTGAGGAAAATCTGTACAAATAATTTTTGGACCTAGCCAAAAAACTTAAGTGGATAAAAGTAAAGTTTGTGTCCTTTTTCCTTTCATAAGACAGTGACACTGAAGATATCAGAATTGTTAGGATGCATGTTCTGTCCCAGTTCTGACAAAGTGTAGCACTATAAAGTCCAGAATCCTTGAAAAGATGATAGAAAAGTTTACCAATTGCAGGTTGCTGGAGTGACACAGTTTGTGACTGCCTGCCCTTTAGTGATCCTTGGAAATTAACATCACCAATGACTAAAGTAAGCCTTGTAATATTTTATTTATTCACTTATTTTGCCTGTAATTGATGTGTGTATACTAGATGACTGAAAGCAATAAAGGAAACAGCTCTATGTACAAGTATACAAGCATGATAAGCCAGTGTTCTGTGTGTAAATGTGCAGTAGTTAACCTATAGTGTCAAGTTGAACACGAAATGCCCTGTTTCTGGGTGTGTCTGGATGATAAACTTACAGAAGAGGGAAACACCCTGGGCACAGACCAGTAGCCTGGATGGAGTAACAAGGAAAAGAAGAAAGTCTTTCTCTATTTTGCTTCTTTGGAGGAGCTCTAGTCCTTGCTGTCACTCCCAGATGTACTTTTCCAGGCTTCCAGTGTGGACTCTTCTTTCTTTTAGTGGATTGTGAATACAGACTCACACAGGACTCTGCAGTGAGCTCATGGTCTTTGCTTTTCCAGCTGGCCAGTGCATTGAAGGCCCTTTTGCACCATTCTACCCCTGACTCTTTAGGTGGACATTGTAAGCCTACCTGATAAATCCTTTATATCTTATCTGTGTACATATTATAACATACAAGAATTCTGTAATATATGTACTATGTCATTGATATGTATTATATAATATATACTATATATTATATATAATATGTGTATTATATGTAGTATATAGTATATATTATATTATTGTATATGTATCATATGTAATATATAGTATATATGGTATACTAATAGTATACATGGTATACATATAGTATTATATATAGTTTCTTACAGAACCCTAACTGATACAGCATGCTTTATTTTGTTAGGGGGTATAGAGTAATCTTTGGCCTAAAGGAGAATTAATGTATTTTCAAAATAAGAAAGAAGAAAAGTATAGGGCAAATAGCTAAAGGGGTTTAAGAAGGTTATGGGAGAATATGAGTCTTGTGAAAATAATTTTATATATGATCAAACTGTCTAAGGACAAAAGAAAATTATTATTATTATTATTATTATTATTAGTTTTACTGGTACCAGGGATCGAACTCATGACCACATGCTTGCAACGCAGGCACATATGCCGCTGAGCTAAATCCCCAGCCCCAGGAAATTATTTTATATTCTAAAAATTGAATATTAATTAAAAAATACCTTAATGTAAAACAGGAATGTTTATGATGTATTGGTATGCTGCCAGTGGAAAACTTTAAAGTGGTCTCTTTACTTTTCTAGGTAATTGGCCTATGCAGCAGTGACTCTATGTTTTGCCAAGATAATTTCCTGTGGTTCCTATCATCTTTATGAAGTTGTTAGTCAATGCAAATCTGCGTCTTCTCATTTTAAAGAGTCAAGGATATTCTATGCTTGTATAATTTTGTGTATTTTCCTTAGAAGTCTTTAAGTTATCAGTGATTAAATAAATAATTTCTGGCCACAGCAGTGTTGCATTTTTCACTTTGAGATTTTATAAGCCCATGATTGCAGGACATGATGGCTACACTCCTATGGGAAGTGGCCCATGGGCACAGGACATCTTCATTCTTCCTTCTCCCCTTTCCTTCATCTTCCACCCCTCTCCCTACACCTACTGGGCCTGTTCACCTTTACAAAAGCTTTACTTCCTCATTTCTTATTATTTATGCTATCTTTTGTTTTTCTTATTTATTTCTGGGTTTCTTACACAACAGATAGACTGCAATATTTAAACTGTGTGTCTGATTTATTTCACTTAACAATATAATCTCATAGTGCATACATTTTGCCACTAATGGCTAAAGTTTATCCACTGCTATGGCAGAGTAGCTCAGGTAATTCAGGCATCAGAGGAGGGTGGACCATGTCCAGATCCTCACCAGGCTGTGAGCTCAGGATGGCATGAGATCCACAGTGCTGAACGTTACCTGCTTCTGTGAGGAACGTAAGTACAGAGACAGGGAGCCTGACGTTCCTGTTGTTGAGTGCTAGATTGGCAGTAAATGTAAGGGGGAGCCTTGATGCTGAGGCTCTCACAGACAAGGCTTCCAGGTGAAAAAGGAGGAAAATCTGGATCTAGTTCTGAGACACAATATCTCCAACATGTGAGTGACAGCTGCAGTGTGCACATTCAGTTTGTAGAAGTCAGAAAAATGAAACCCTTTGGTTTTGGGTGAATACTGTGTAAGTGATGTTTGATGAAAAATGTGCACTACATAAGTCAAGCATTGTCTTCTGCTCTCCAGGGAAATTCCAGTCGAAAAATCATTACATTTATCTCTGTGCTACACTTGGATTTGATTTTGTTTCTTATCTGCAAAATTTGAAAGCATCAACCATGGCCTGCTTCCTTTCATCCAGGGCACAGAAAGAAAACAAGTTCCAAACTACAGTATTTTGAAGGTCAGTTGTTTTGTGTCTTTATTTTCACTGAATGAAAAAAGAGTTTTGACAGATGCAGAAGTAGCTGGTGAGGGTCTCAGTGGCTCCACTGGGCTTTTAGTTCTTAGTTGTACCCCTGTTAACCAATTTGCTAATTATCCCACCAGAGTGGAAGAGTGAGAGCAATGAGAGCATGGTGCAGAAAGCAGGATCTTCTCACAACACTTTTCTAAGTGGGTCAGACACAGCACTTGAGGTTCCCTCTGTAGTACAGGCTTCTGTTTATGGTAGAACACATCAGGCATGACCAATACCCAATGATGCCCGTGCTGTTTCTAACTCAATATCCTTCCAAATATCTTCAAAACAGTTCGTCAATGGAGAGCAGATGCTGAGTATTTCAGTGAATGTGCATAAAATAGAGAAAGAACTAAGCAACACATTTGACACAAAATCTGTACTTCACCATACAAAGTGCACACAACAAAAATAAAGAACTAAGAACAGATGATCCACAGGTGTATATACCAACTTAAAAACATCTCAGATATAAATTTAATTACTTTCTAATGTTTTTTTACTCAAGAAAACCTTTAATTGGGAACTTAGAATATATATTGAACACTCTTCTCAGAGCAGCATTAATCTCCCTGTTGCGTAGACAGTAGATGATGGGGTTTAGGAATGAGGGAACCATGGTGTAGAACATGGCAGTCAGAAGATTCTTCAGGGATGGTTTCTGTGCAATGGGACCCAAGACTGCCACTATTACAGAAATGAAAAACATCAGGAGAATGGCCAGCTGTGGGGTACAGGTGGATACGGCTTTGTTACGGGCTTCCACTGAACGAATCTTAAGCACAGTTGAAAATATATTAATGTATGAAATAATTATAAAGGCATTACATGATAAGACAAGGCAAACACATACAACAATGATCACAAATTCAGAAAACTGGACATCTGAGGATGATATCCTCAGAATTTGAGGAACATCACAGAAATATTGGTGGATCACATTGGTCTTGCTGAAGGGAAGCCTAAACAAAGCATGTGTGTGGATCACAGAGTAGACCAGACCAGAGGCCCAAGATCCAGCTGTGGCCTGGGAACAGAGACTCGGGTTGATGACGAGCCCATAGTGCAGAGGGCAGCAAATGGCCACATAGCGGTCATAGGACATGATCACCAGGAATGCAATCTCTGCAGCTGCAAAAAGGAGATAGAGGAAAATCTGTGCAGTGCACTCTGTCAGGGAGATCATGTTACTGCCCATCATGGAATTCACTATGACCTTGGGAACAATAACTGAGATGGTGCCGCTGTCTATGAGGGCCATGTTGCCTATGAAAAAGTACATGGGAGAGTGCAGATGTGTGTCTGTCAGGATGAGAGTGAAAGTTACAAGTTTCCCTGTCAATGCTCCCAGATAAATCAGTAAGAACAGCACCCCTTGCAGAAGCTGGAGCTCCCGGGAGCCGGCAACATCCATAAGGAGGAATTCTGTGAAGATGGTGACATTGTCCATGTCTGTCAACCCGCTGTGGTCTCCACAGAGACAGAGATTGATGTGAGCAGAGGATGCTACAACCAGAACATAGAGCAGCCATTAGAAGTATAATGCAGCATCTGATAGGAACTCAGGAAACAGTAAATGGATGTAAATTATCTTGAATTACAGTGAATGCCCATTTTCCCATTTTGATTTCCTTTCCCAAACATATTGATGCATATTATACAATAAAAAATGAGAGAATTAAGCAATCAAACATTTAAAGTACAATCACACCTCAGTAATCTTTTACTTATTCAGTGCATTTAGGAGTTTTATCATTCTGCTGGACACCTCATTTTTTTTCTCATTTTCTTCAGTTTTGCATGCCCATTCTGAGAACTTCTGCAACAAACTCGGGTATTGGGAATCACACATCTGCTCCACATTCTCTAGGTCCAAGGTTAGAGCATGGGTGTGAACTGTCTCCTTCTGTGACTGATACACTCATATGTTTTTCCCTAACAGATGTAATGCATGACTCTGCGCTTCCTTTGACAATGATTTTGACCTGAATTATACCAGGCAGGTCACTCTGCACCATTCTCTCTTTTAGGAGTTCTTACAAACCTGTGTCTGAGTCCTTTATTTTCCCATTTGCGCTGTCATCTATGCAAGATGTTGTTGCTTTTGGATGTAAAATTCTATTTTCCTGTCAATAGTACATAGACTATTTGTGTTACCTTGTCTGTGTATTTTATAAAGATGAGGAAATAAGTATTGAAATAGACTTCATAAAAGAAACTTTTTCCTAGGAATGGATTCTAACATTTACTTAAGTGCTAACTTCCTATCCAGACCTCCACTCTGCTTGCTTTTCATATCTTTTGATAAAATCTCATTATTCTTAAATCATTGTTTTAAATTTAATTTATTTACCTGTGATTTTTCTGAAGCATTCGAATCATAAATCATCTGTTTATGAACTGTCTTGTCAGTATTCAGATTAGTGACACAGTGAGGTTTAATCTCAGTATTATTGTTTTTCTGGTGAAAAACAGAATTGAAGGATTATAATACTGAAAACATTGACATTTGTGACACTTTATAGGTAATTACTTTGCCATTGCAACAACAATTACAATTTTTTGTTTTATGTGCATGATAATGATTTGTTTACAGTACTGTGTTCATGTGGCTTTTCAATGTTTTACTAAAACATCCTATGTGAATTGTTTTGTCTTCTAATTCTTTGAATTACATGTGGTTTCTTCTATTAGCCTTATTGCTCTGAGAAGAGAAAATCCTTTGAGCACAGAATCAATCTCCAGTCCACAGTTCACAGATGAGGGTGAGGTTTCTACATGGTGTCAATCACTGCTGCAAACTGCACTGCAGTGATTTTTTAATTCCTTCACTGAAATGACAGATAGGGTCATTGGAACCTCAGCTCCCTTTCTCCATCTCTTCTTATTACATGTCCTTCCTCCTCAGTGCAAGCACATGCTCAAGTTTCCCTGAGCTTAATTCCCTTCACCTTTCCATCCTGCACACTGCATCCTGATTCTGTGCAAAAGAGGAAATACAGGGCTTATTCCTCCTTTGTTATTTCCTCAGTGATATGTTGAAATTGTTTGGCCCACAATTTTCAAATATGGACAGTAGATTGAGTGATTGCTAATTCCCCATAAATTGTAAAATAGGTGACATATAATAATATATCTAAAAATCAGCATTATGATGTTATATGATAAGAAGACATTCTTATAAAAATTGACTGTAATAATGACCATATTAGACACCTCAAGTATTTTTGTTACTGAATGACTATGCTTGTTTATATGGCTTTATTTCCCTAAAAGTCCCTCATAAATTTTATTAGCTTATAGATTTATTAATTATCCTTTTGAGTTGAGATGAAGCAAATATTAACTTCAGATGTGCTGATGCTATATTCCACGGTAATTTTCCATCACTATGATTTCTGGTTTTGGCCCTGAGCCACATGTGAAACACAGAACCTAAGAAAACATTTGAAAAAATAATGACCTAAAATAGACACTAGAATTTGAAGCAGTCTGTTTATTCTATAAGCACACATATACTATGCAATGATGAAATAGTTATGTCATCTTAGCGTTTTAAAGTATGTATTTCAAAGATGCTAGTGTGTGATTTATGCATTATAAATGTTATAAAAATGCATAAATTAGCATGTACAAAGTTACCTGAACAGTGAAGCTACAAGTCTAACTTCAATGACAGCAGTGTTGCTTTTGCTCAATGTTAAGATACTTGAGGAGATCCTTGCTTTGTGCTTCTTTCTTCAGTGAGTGTAAAGCAAGCTCACTTCTCAGGGAGATGCCAGTGTGAACCATGTGTGAAGCCCTGCTTCTGAAATACCCATGGTTCTGCTGAGTCTTCATTAAGGATATGTGGGGGTCACACTTCAGATGAGACCTGGGGATCTAGTGACCTCAGTTTCCAGGGAGCCCCAATTCCCTCCAGCCTCTAATTGGTCAGGATTATTTGGCCACAATACTGAGACTAATTAAATTTCCAATAGAGTTTTGAAAGGAGACTTTATGTGTGCAACACTTAATAAAAAGAAAATATGCTTTATGCATCACTGGAAAGTCAAAAAAGTTTCAATTTCACAACTAATTATAAAGTTAATTTACTTACATTACAGTGAATCCCTGAAATGCTGTCTTTGCACAGTCAGTGTGCTGTGATTGGAAGAGGGGTGTCATCCTATATGTGGGTGGCATTGAGAGAACCAATACAAGATGCTACAAAATCACACATAGCCCATACTGGGCTAAAACGTTAAAATCAGAGCACGAAATCTTCATTCATAAGGCTTTAGCTCCTGAACTTCAGTTATTATTTAAGAAATCATATATTGTTTTGTGTCACTATGGAATGAATGGAGAATACTGGTATTACTGTATAAAAGTAGGATTACAACTGTCCTCTCTGGTCCTGTATCAATGCAAGGCAGTTCTTTTTTCTTGGTGTCCAACCCACAGGCTGCTCTGGCTGGGAGGTTTCTTCTTGAAAGATGTGTCTTTTTTTTTTAAGAGGAAAAAGAGAAAAACACAAAACAAAACAAAGTGGTGTAAGGGTACACGTAATACAGAACTACAAAAAAAAAAAAAAAAAAAACCATAACAGTAATAAATCACCTGTTAAAAGAGTACATATTATCATCTTGAAAATAGTTGCTCAAATCACAGTATCAAAGAATACAAAGTGGACATTCAAACAGGGAGACTGCAGAAAGATGTGTCATGTGTCTTGGTCTGTTTTGTGCTCAGTGTAACAAAATAGTGATGCATCTACTTTTTAAAAGCATATCAAACAGTTTTGATTTTCCAAGAGCATGGCATGAGCATTGGTGCTGGTGAGTAGCTCACCACATCTTGTTTTTTTGAAGTAGTCTTTTGCTGAATAATTCACTTGTGTAAGCATCACATTAATCTCTTCTGAGAATTTATTTACCTTTCAGTAGGCCCATCATCTCTTGTTCCCCTCACTTAGGGGAACCTGTGTCTGGATGTGGGAGACCCTGTAATTAGCCACCGTCTTATAACAACAGGCAACAGCCATCTTAATGTCTTCTAGGAGTTAAGTTTCTATTTTCCCTGAAGTTACATGTCCCTGTGTGTTGGCCCGTGCAGTGGTTATGCTAATGAGCCTATGTGCACGTGATTTTCCACGTGTGGAAGTTTTGAACTACCTCTACTTATAACCCTTGGTCTCACTTGGACTTCCCACTGTTGCTAGGTTACCTGCTGACATGTTGGAACCCAACTACCTCATTCCCTAACATCCTATATAAATGCTGCCCATTTTTTTGTTAAATGAGACTTGATCAGAGCATTGTCTTGCCTCCATTGTTTGCATCTCTTGCCCCTTTCTCATGCCAACTTCTCCTCTAGGGTCTCTGTTGACTTACCTGCAGGTCGGGACAAGTGGCGCCTAATGTGTGGGGCTTGAGAACGGGAGATCTAGTGAGGGACGCTGTTTTTGAAGCCGGCACAAAAACAGAATGGAGGGAAAACAAAAGAGGGAACATTTACATGGGAACCTGCTGCATTTTCTGCACCTCGGTGAGTTAAAAGAGATTATGGGACAAGAAACGAGCCAACATGAGATCTCTATTTAAAGTTAGGAAAGGCTCTAAAGCCACCAGGAGTAAAGGTTAAAATTAAACAGTGTTTTGATTACATAAAACAAGTTTGTCCTTGGTTTCCTACTGAAGGGTCTAGTGACACCAAATGGTGGAAAAGGGTTGTTGCTGCTCTTAAAGATTACTATGTCTTTGGGCCCGAGAAGGTCCCAGTAACTGCTTTTTCTTATTGGGGCTTAATAGATGAAATTTTATATCAGAGACAGAATGATCCAATAATCACAAATGTTGTTCAAAAGGGTAAAATTATATTACAAGGAGAAAATATCAGGGTAAAATTGAGCTAACAAAGAGGCCGAGACTCCTAACAAAGATGAAGAACTTATGTCCTTTGAAGCAATAATGAGGAAGAGATAAACAATGCCTTGGGAGTTAAAGGACACAGACATCAAAGTCTGACAAGCCTCTGAAACAAAAACTCAGTCTTTATGACTTAGAGGAAGCCAAGCCAAAAACCAAACTTTACACTGAATTACTCTTAGAGGCTAAAATAGATGATGATAACATTGATTGGGACAGCTTCGCAGAGGAGGTTGCAAGATGCCATAATTATAACTGGCTAGTCAATGTCTAACCCTCTCCAGGCTCAGCACTCTGCAGCGCCACCCTGCCCCAGGTGGCCTGCGCAGTGTAGCCCTTGCTGTGTGCCCTCCCCCTTCTTGTAGTGGCCCTACTGCCCCACTCTAACATGTTCAGCTTCCGACCCTAGAAAACAATTAAGAGACAAAATTGAGATTTTAAAAGAGCAGATTGCATTAAAAAGAGAACATCAGGAATTAATAGCCCAATTAGAAAGGCTAACAATAGGAAGGTCTAAAATGAAAAATGAAACAAATCCCAG